GCCTGAACCCAGGAGGCGGAGGTTGCGGTGAGCCAAGATCGCGCCATTGCACTCCAGCCTGGGTAACAAGAGCGAAACTCTGTCTCAAAAAAAAAAAAAAAAAGGAAAAAACAGTTGTAGACTCAGAGGTAACTGCTATGTAACCAGTATGTGGCCTTGGGCACATCTCTTACCCTTTCTGAAAAGGCACCTCCTGGCATCCAGGAGGGTCCAAAAGATATTCACCTCCCCCTGCTCACTGAGTCACCCACTCCACGCACCCCTACAGAAACGATGGCACAATGAGAAGCTCGGCTTGGATGCTGGGGATGAATATGAAGATGAAAACCTTTATGAAGTGAGTGAAGGGTGGGGGCAGGGTAGGGGCAGGTGTGTTAGCGGTTGGGTGGGGGGAGGGTCCCAGAAAGAACAGCATGGGGTTCCCTCTAGGAGGGGTTGGGGACAGGGACCCCAGGTGCCAGAGTGCTGATGTTCACTGCCTCGTTTCCACCCCAGGGCCTGAACCTCGATGACTGCTCCATGTATGAGGACATCTCCCGGGGCCTCCAGGGCACCTACCAGGATGTGGGCAGCCTCCACGTAGGAGATGTCCAGCTGGAGAAGCCGTGACACCCCCTCCCCTGCCAGGCTGCCGCCACCTGCAGTGCGTCCAGCTCCAGGGTTTCTCCTCACTTCCCTGGGACATTCTTCAGCCCTCCTGGGGGATTCCTTAGTCATCTTCCCCCTGGTTGGGGGCGGGGAGGTAACCTCACTCTTCTCCAGGCCAGGCCCCCTTGGACACCCCCCGGGGGTGTCCCACTCTTCTTCCCTCTAGACTGCCACACCCCCCGCCCCCTAACCCAATCCTCCCCCTGCTGCCTTTCCCAGGCTCCCACCAACCCCAGCGGGTAATGAGCCCTTAATCACTGCCTCTAGGGGAGCTGATTGTAGCAGCCCCGTTAGTGTCACCCCCTCCTCCCAGATCTGTCAGGGCCACTTAGTGATAATAAATTCTTCCCAATAGCAGACCTTGGCAGGAGTCGTGGATCTTATGGGAACCGCCTCTGCCACACTTCCCTTAGACCCAGAAGTCCCAGCCCAAGCCACCCCCTGCCCACTCCCCACACCTGGGACCAGGTAGCCAGTTTGGGCTGCCACCCTGGGAAAAATAGGACATCTCTTTGGGAGGTCCCCAACCCAACTGAAGGACTGGTTTGGCTGTATCTGCAAGGTCTCACCCTAGGGTCACGTTTTCAAGCAAGAAGGAGAGAAGATCAATATAGGTGTGCCTACCAAATTACTTATGCTTTTTTTTTTTTTTTTTTGAGACAGAGTCTCACTCTGCTGCCCAGGCTGGAGTGCAGTGGCCCATTCTCAGCCCACTTCAACCTCCACCTCTCAGGTTCTAGCAATTCTCATGCATCAGCCTTCTGAGTAGCTGAGATGACAGGCATGCGCCACACCTGCCCCACCTCTGGCCAATTTTTTTTTTTTTTTTTGGAGACGGAGTTTTGCTCTCGTTACCCAGGCTGGAGTGCAATGGCGCAATCTCGGCTCACCGCAACCTCCGCCTCCTGGGTTCAGGCAATTCTCCTGCCTCAGCCTCCTGAGTAGCTGGGATTACAGGCACGCGCCACCATGCCCAGCTGATTTTTTGTATTTTTAGTAGAGATGGGTTTTCACCATGTTGACCAGGATGGTCTCGATCTCTTGACCTTGTGATCCACCCGCCTCGGCCTCCCAAAGTGCTGGGATTACAGGCGTGAGCCACCGCGCCCAGCCCTAATTTTTGTAGTTTTAGTAGAGATGGGGTTTCACCATGTTGGTCAGGCTGGTCTCAAACTCCTGACCTCAGGTGATCCACCTGCTTCGGCCGCCCAAAGTGCTGGGATTACGGGCGTGAGATTATGGGCATGAGATTATGGGCATGAGCCACTTTATGCATATTTAAGCCTTGGAAACACAGGGACTATTTTGTGGGGCTGGCCAAAATTCAGACTGCAGCCTTTTCCCGATGGGTTGACTTACAGAAGGGGCATTTTGGAGGGTCTGTGGCCCTAACCTGGGGAGAGCAGGGAGATCCAGGGGCAATGACAGAGAGGCACAGAGCCACGCATTTCCTGAGAAAGGGAGAGAGAGGCTAAGACCCAGGGATAGTGAAGGAGATGAGCAAGTACAGGAAGAGATCATGAGCTCCTGGGAATCTGAGAGAGACAGGAAAGTGGAGAGGGACAGAGACAGAGCGAGAAGGCAAGGAAGTCAGAAGGGAGGAGGGGCAACCGAAAATGGGCACGAAGAGGCCCAGGCGCAGCAACAGCTGGGGAAATGACAGAGACTGAGCCGGAGATGCAGAAAGATACAGAGAGACCCGGAGAGGGTAGAGAAGGGCTCTCGGGGAGAAAGTGATGGACAGGCCGGGCGCGGTGGCTCAAGCCTGTAATCCCAGCACTTTGGGAGGCCGAGGCGGGTGGATCACGAGGTCAAGAGATCGAGACCATCCTGGTCAACATGGTGAAACCCCGTCTCTACTAAAAATACAAAAAAAATTAGCTGGGCATGGTGGTGCGTGCCTGTAATCCCAGCTACTCAGGAGGCTGAGGCAGGAGAATTGCCTGAACCCAGGAGGCGGAGGTTGCGGTGAGCCGAGATCGCGCCATTGCACTCCAGCCTGGGTAACAAGAGCGAGACTCCGTCTCAAAAAAAAAAAAAAAAAAAAAAAGAAAGTGATGGACAGAGAGGAGAGGTGGAGGCCGAGGAGGGAAGGATCCCAATAGAAAAAGACAGAGGGACAGAGAAGGGGACGCAGTCGCAGATGGGAGCACACCCACGGAGGCGAAGGAAGAGCATAAGACCAAGAGAACCACAGCCACGGAAAGCCCGGGAAGCCGTGGCTCCGGCTGGGGCGCACGGGGAGCAGGGCTCGCCCCCTAGGCCCTGCGGGGAGGTGACCCCAGCCGGGAGAAGCGAGTCCCACGAAGCCCGCGCCCGGCTGACAGACGGATGGACAAAGCCGGGGAGAGGCCGGGCGCGGCCAGGGCGGGGCCGGTGCCCGCGGGGACCCGGGCGCAGCGGGGGAAGGAGGGGCGGGCAGGCGGCGAGAAGGGGAAGGAAGCGGAGGTGCCGGGCGGGCGCGGGGCGCTGGCAGGAAGCGGGGAGGGGCGGCGGGGCGGGGGACTCCGGAAAAACGCCCCGACTTCCTGCCCCGCCAGAGCCAGGAAGCGGGAGCCGGGACCCAGGGCCCGGGATCGCCGAGCCCGACCTCGGGCGCCCCGCCGGTCACCTCTGCGCGGACACCAGGTACTCGGTCCCCGGCCCCGCCCGGCCTCCTCCCCTCGGCTGCTGGGGGAAGTGGGGAGGAGGAGGAAGGGGCTGGGGCGCTGCCGGCAGCGGAGGGGCCCCACGGAGCCAGCGGCCACTCCTCCTCGGGCTTCAGTTTTCCCTCTGTCAAAAGGAGCAGAGTGAGGAGAACTCACACTTGCGGAGTGCCCAGTAGGTAGGGACGAACGGTGCGAGGCCGGGGCCAAGGCCTCCCACCTGCTTAGTGGAGGTCTCACGATCACTCCCATTGTACGGGTGGGGAAACCGAGGCCCGGGGAGCCAAACCGACTCGTCCCAGGGAACGCACATCGTGAGACAGTGCGCAGTTGGGATTTGAACTCGCACCTGCTTTCCGCAAAGTGCCATCCTCCAACCGCCGCATGCTTTTTAGGGCCACCTAAAAAAGAAAAACAGCAATCACAACAGCGGCGAGGGCCGCTGTGGGGCTGAAAGTTCCAGAGTGCATTTGAAAGAGTTTTCAGAAAGCTCTGTTCTAGGTCTTTAATTATACCGTGGAGACGGGAGTAGTGGAGAGAGCTGGAGACCTTCTCCCGTTATACAGATGGGAAAACTGAGGCCTGCAGGGTCATTATTTTTTGCAGATGACGACACTGCATGTCAGAGGGAAAGGTGTACTGGAACTCAAGACTTTTGCTTTTACAGTTCCAAAGGAAGGGAGATCTGGGGGGACGGAGGGAATTGATGATGCGCGAGCGTTGGAAATTCAGCGGGTCCCCGAAGTCGGGAGACTAATAGAACAGGGAGCCCCACTCCGCGGTGCTCAGCGCCAGAGTGACTCAGAGAGCACGGATCGAACTCGGGCGGGGCTGGACTCATCTGTACCTCCGGGCGCGGGGCGGGACCCGGGGAGTGACGGGGGCAGTCGAGATATGGAAACGCCGGCCCTCCAATACAGGCCAGAGCGGCCCTATCTGGCCTGCGTGGCGCAGTGCAGCGCTAGAGCGGCCGGCGGGAGGAGTAGAGTCGCCGGGGCCGGTGCAGGGCAGGAACCCGGCTAGAGCGGCTGGCAGGAGGAGTGGAGCTGGGCGCAAAGGTGGACTCGGGGCGGCTAGAGCGACTCGGCGTCGGGGGTGGGGAGAGCGCGGAGCCGGCGCGCAGAGGCCTCGGTTCCGGCGGCGGTGGCGTCTCTCCACCTGGAGCAGGTGAGGGACGCGGTCCTCAGCGGGTGTCAGACCCTGACTCTACACGTCCTTCCTGGCATCCCTGGCCGTGCACACCGCCACGTCCCCCGTAAGGATTTAGGGCCCGCATGAGACCTGCCACATCCACGTAAGATTTGGGGCTCGTGTAGACCCGCCACTTTCTGTATAGATTACAAAGTCTTACAGACCCTCCACGTTCCTGCTAGCTCTCCATGGAGACGCGGCTTCTCATAGACGTGGGGTCCTCATTAAGTAGCATCCCCTAGAACCCGGGGCTCTGTAGACCATGGGTCTCGGGACCCACCACGCACCCCTATGGAATTCTGAGGCCCTTTTAAGGCTCCAGAGGTTCCACAGGGTGGCAGCTGTCCCTGTAGAATCATGACCCTGCATGAGCCCTGGATCCTTTAGACCCACTGTGTGTCAAATAGAATCTGGGGAGTACACACTCCAAGGACTCCCTTTAGGTTCTTTAAGGCGCCCAGAAGTTCTTGGAGATCCTGAGTCACCTGCTCAGTACCTTATAGATCATGAGCCTTTATAGAAATCAGGTACCCATGTGGCCCCCAACCCCATGGACCTTCCAAAGCAGCCGTAACCCTCCAGCTCCCCAGGCACGTGGTGCTCCCTCTGCTGGATACCCCAGCCCTTGTCAGTTGCCTATAGATCCATCTATTCTCTGACAGTTTCACCTGTAATTCTCCAGCCTTTGTGGGAACCACCCCAACCCTCTCTCCTAAACAGCCAACACTTCTCGCCTCCATCATCTCCAAGCCCCAGGCCTCTGTGGAGCAGCCGTATCCAGCTTGCACTCCTGCCTAGGCCATAGTGACTACATACCCTTGACTTTTTCCAGGTATCAGAAGAAGATATAATTGTCTCAGAGCTTTGGTTCAGATTTTAGTTTCTGAAGGGTAGGGTAGGGGTTCCCCATGTTCTGAACCAATGCTCTCTGTTTTGTTTTATTTTATTTTATTATTTATTTACTTGAGATGGAGTCTCGCTTCTGTCACCAGGCTGGAGTGCAGTGGTGCTATCTCGGCTCATTGTAACCTCTGCCTCAGCCGCCCAAGTAGCTGGGACTACAGGCACGTGCCACCATACCCAGCTAATTTTTGTATTTTTAGTAAAGATGGGGTTTCACCATGTTGGCCAGGCTGATCTCAAACTCCTGAGCTCAAGTGATCCACCTGCCTCAGCCTCCCAAAGTGGTGGCATTACAGGCGTGAGCCACCCCACCTRSCCTATTTTATTTTAAGACAAGGTTACACTCTGTTGCCCAGGCTGGAGGGCAGTGGTGCAACCTTGGCTCACTGCAACCTCTGCTTCCTGGGCTTAAGTGATCCTCGAATTTTAGCCTCCCAATTAGCTGGGACTACAGGCATGAGCCACCACACCTGGCTGTTTTTTGTAGCGATGGGGTTTCACCATGTTGGCCAGGCTGATCTCAAACTCCTGAGCTCAAGTGATCCACCTGCCTCAGTCTCCCAGAGTGCTGGGAGCCACTGCACCCACCCAAATGCAGTTTGTTTTAAATGCATAAACTCTGTAGCCCTACTGCCTAGGTCTGAGTCCTGGTTCTGTCTCTCATGAGCTGTGCCTCAGTTTCCTTCTTTGTTAAATGGAGATAAGAATAATAATGATCTCTTGGAGTCACTGAGAGGATTAAATGAGTTATTACCTATAAAGCAGTGATGATGTGTCTGGCACATACTAAGTGTCTCTTATGTGTTAGCTCTCATTTCATTATCACTGTGCTGAGGAATAAGATAATAACTTGTCAAGTGTACATTCCAGACCTGGCACCAAGCATTTGCAGAGATGAGTATCCCTTCCTTTGCCCTTTTTGCACCTCTCTGCCTCAGTTGAACCTTTCTGCCTCTGAGTGGGATGAGCATACACCCTCCACGTCTGCGGTATTGTTTCATAGTGAGACAGGGTCTCACTGTGTGGCCCAGGCTGGTCCTGAGCCCGAGCAGTCCTCCCACCTTGGCCGCCCAAGGTGCTGGGGTTACAGGCATGAACCACTTCGCCTGGCCAGTTTGCAAATGTAGTAAAGTGAACTAGAAATTCAACAGTGCTTGAATCTTTAACTGCAAATTTAACAGTGCTTGAATCTTGAATTGCCCAAGTTTAGATATTGTACAGATAAACTTTGTGGGAAAGAATAAAAATGATGCTTGCTTGGGTGGACCCACAGAGTGGCATTTGGACACTCCAGAAAGCAACATTGTTTAATCATCAAAATCCTAGCCACCATTTACTGGGGAGCTAGGGAGGAGGCCCAGTAAATGGGAGAAGGGTGGGTCTCTGGCAGCTAGGGTTATAAATAGCTTTGGGCTGCGGGGAGCCCCCCCTACTGGTCCACCCCACCCCTCTTTCCACAGCTCCTTCCCGCCTGACACGGGCTCCGTGGCATTAGTCAGACTAATTAAGGACATAGAAGATGTCGGTGGAAAGACTCAGAAGTGGAAACTCAAGGAGAGACAAAGATGGGAAGGACAGCAAGACATGGGGGGAGAAAAAGGGATGGAGAGATGAGAGACAGCCCATGAGATGGCGACTCAGAGAGGTGTGAGGATGGTGGCTGCAGAAAACAGGTGGGAGGACAGAGGCACAGACAGGGACAGGAGAGACGGAGCTACAGAGGCAGGAAGGGGTGTCCTTGCTGAGAGGGAGGGATGGAGGGAGGGGAGGCAAGGCATGGTGGGAAAAGGAGACAGTTCTGGAGGAAGAGAAAGAAAAATCAGGAAACAGCGTGAAGAGAGCAAGAGATGAGACAGATTCAAGGGACAGACGCCAGGGAGAGCCGGCTGGGGACAGACTAAGGCGCATGTAGGGTGGAGGAGACAGACACACCTCAGAGATGGGCTGGCTGAGGCCCCTTCACTTGTTTTCTGGGACTGGAAGCCGGGAAGAGATGCGGTCCCTGGGGGAAAGAAGAACTTCTGGGTTTGGGGACTCCCAGTCCCTGAGGGAGAAGGGTTTTAGTTTTATTTTCATATATGGAGAGTTGGGGGTTGGGGGTTTGCCACTGTGACTTCCTGTCACAGGAAGTGGGGCTAGTGGGTTCCACGGCAACATCCTGCCCCAGGCCTGTCACAGACCGGAGGAGACCCCCACACCCCACTTCTTCCCACTTCTCCTCTAGCCCTCCCATCCCCGCTTGCCTCTAGCCCTGCCCTCAGGAATTAGCCCCCAGGCTCCTGGTGCCTCTGACCTGGGAGTCCAGGTCCCCAGCGCCTTTTCCATTAGGGACCCTAAATTGCAGGCTTTCAGACTCAGCCTTCCCATGGACCCAGGCTCCTGAGCCTCCAATACCCGCCCCCCAGGCGTCCTTGGGCTCCCGCCCCCTGGCCGGCCTCTGAAGGGCTCTTTGTGGCCACACAGAGGCTCCATTGAGCTGTGGAGGCTGGGATGGGGGAGGCTGTTTACTCACCTTCACACCTGGGCCAGGAATCTGTGAGTAACCGCCCTGGGCCACCCCCTCCCACCCTCCTAACCGCAGCCCCTCCTCTTCCCCCAGCCCTGCAGAGCCCAGGGAGATGGAAGACGTCGCCGGAGGGGTGGTGAGTGGACAGAGCAAGGGGTGAGGGGACGCGGGCTGTGGGTGGGGAGTCCTGTGGACTGAAGCCGCCCTCTCCTTCCACAGGCCCCAGGCCCCCTACGGGTTGGGGTGCCCATCAGCATCATTGGGGCTGAGGATGAGGATTTTGAGAACGAGCTGGAGGCGGTGAGTGGGATAGGGTGGAAAAGCTTGGTCCCAGGCTCCGCGCTTCACCCTGGGTCCCCTCCCACCTGCAGATGCGGTCCCCTTGGCCTCTTCCCATGGTCCGTCTCTCACCCTCTCATCTGGCTGGTACCTCCTTCCTCACCTCCCCAACCCCATACTCAGCCCACATGGCAACATAGACGCCCACCCTTCTTACTCTTAACCCCAATTCTTCTCATTGCGCCCTCCTCCCCCAGCATGGACTCCAATTTCTTCTCCTAATTTCCGTCCTCATCGTCTACCAATATCATATTAAATCTCATCCATTCTCCCTGACCACCTGTCCTTGCTGTCACCATTATTTTGTGGACACCGTCACCACTCCCCACTTCCCAGGAGCTAACCCTCGCTTGGATCCCTTGTGAAGTGCCAGGAACGGGTAGGGTCAAACCCAGGGCCTCTCCTCTTCTCCTTATTGTACTCCCCCCCGCCTGTACCCCCAGAACTCAGAAGAGCAAAACAGCCAGTTCCAGAGCCTGGAGCAAGTGAAGCGGCGCCCGGCCCACCTCATGGCCCTCCTGCAGCACGTGGCCCTGCAGTTTGAGCCAGGACCCCTGGTGAGGGCAGGGCTGGGTGGGCATAGGGAGGGGTGGGCCTGGGACAGGGACAGCTTTCGGCAATATAAACCAGCGAGCTAGTGCCGGGAGTTGGAGGAGGGGGTCTGGAAAAGCAGATCTAGAAATCAGAGTGCCAGATCTAGAGAATGCCTTAGACAAGAGCCAGAAAGCACGCCACGTGACCTCAACCCCAGGGTTGTCGGTGCCTAGGATAGCTCTCAGTGTGCAGGGAGCAGGGTACACACGGCAGGACCCCCCAGAGCCACAGAGAGCCCAGCAGCCTGGCAGAGACCACATCCTGTCTCCCTCCATGCCTCTGGCAGTGCTCCCTATCAGCCTGTTGCAGCACCCTTCCATGGACTCTGGAGGACCGAGTCCTTCTCTCCAAAGCCTTCTTGGCAGATGCCAGCATGCAGTCATTTAGAGTTGGTGCTTGGGAGAAAGCTGTTAGCCATCCCAGGTCTGGGGGGCACAGCAGGCCCTGTTCTGGAAACAAGAAAACCACCACACGCAGCTCACAAGGGAGACCGCAGGATTGTGGATCCAGAAGCCTCCAGATGAGGCAGAAGATACCTGGGAGACGAGGATGGACAACTGTGCCATCCAGAAACACCCGCAGAGTCTAGAAAACCCAGCAGGTGATGTAGAGAAGCCACAGTGCTGGCTGGCAGGGGATCTGTAGACAAGGGTCTCGTCCCAAGAAGGCCCAGTGCAGCCCAGCACAGCACAGCACAGGAGCTGGGGACAGGCCAAGGCACTGCACCATGTGGACGTGCTTAGTGGGCCCCTCCAGAAAGGAAACTGATAGAGTGAGAAGCGCCTGAGGCACACAGAAAGAACGTTGGCTGCAAGACCAGAGGTTGGTCCTCCTGACGCCAAAGCGTCAGAAATTGCAGTCTTTCCCCATCTGCATTCTCTTCCAGAAGAGTGGCTCCCCAACAACCATGTGCTTGGAGACTCTGACCCTCTGAGCAAGGGGGTCCCCCATTCAAGCCTTGGGGTTTCTACAACACCAGATCCTGGACGTCAGCCCAGGGATTGTGCTGACTGCCATGTTCTGTTACAGATGTGGAGCTGAGGCCTCGGGAGGGTCAGGGACTTGTTGGAGGTGACCGTGGCAGCCTCTGGGCAATTTTTTTTTTTTTTTTTTTTTTTTTTTTTTTTTTTTTTTAGACAGAGTCTCCCTCTGTCACCCAGGCTAGAATGCAGTGGTGCAGTCCTGAGTCACTGCAACCTCTGCCTCCTGGGTTCAAGTGATTCTCCTGCCTCAGGCTCCCGAGTAGCTGGGACTACAGGCGCGCATCACCACACCCGCTAATTTTTATTTTTAGTAGAGACGGGGTTTCACCATGTTGGCCAGGCCAGTCTTGAACTCCTGATCTCAAGTGATCTGCGCACCTCGGCCTCCCAAACTGCTGGGATTACAGGTGTGAGTCACTGCACCTGGCCTAGCCCTGGGCATTTTGAGGTTTTTCCTCACACAGCTCCCTCACCTTATCATCTTGTGGGGAGCCAGTTGGAGATAGCTGTGGTCCCCTGGGCTGCTTCGTGTTGGCCTCTCTTAGAATTTTGCTATCTATAAGGGCTGTGGAGAGTGGATATAGATGTGTTAAAACTGTTTAAAGTGGAGAAAGAAGACTGGGCCTGGTGGCTCATGACTAGTCCAAACCCTTTGGGAGGCTGAGGCAGGAGGATGGCTTGAGCCAGGGAGGTCGAGGCTGCAGTGACTGTACCACTGCACTCCAGCCTGGGTGACAGGGTGAGGCCCTGTCTTGAAAAAGAAAAAAAAGGCCAGGCGTAGTGGCTCACGCCTATAATCCCAACACTTTGGGAGGCCAAGGCGGGCAGATCACTTGAGATCAGGAGTTCAAGACCAGCCTGGCCAACATGGCGAAACCATCTCTACTAAAAATACAAAAATTAGTTGGGCATAGTGGTGCACAGCTGTAATCCCAGCTACTCGGGAAGCTGAGGCAGAAGAATCACTTGAACTTAGGAGGCAGAGGTTGCAATGAGCCAAGATCATAACACTGCACTCCGGCCTAGGCGGAAAAAAAAGAAAATTAGCCAGACATGGTGGTGTGCACCTGTAATCCCAGCTACTCTAGAGGCTGATGCAGGAGAATTGCTTGAACCCATGAGGAGGTTGCAGTGAGCCGAGATCACACCACTGCCTGTACTCCAGCCTGGGTGACAGCAAGACTCCATCTCAAAAACAAAGGAGAAAAAGTTCCACTCCCATTGGAGTGAGTTCACTTCCCAGATGAGAGCCTCCAGGAACCAGGACAAGTTGGAGCCCCCACTGTCACCCAGCACAGGGCTGGCACTCAGGACATGCTTAACGAATGATGGAGTGAGCCCACTTATCTACCTGTTCTTTTTTTTTTTTTTGAGACGGAGTTTCACTCATGTTACCCAGGCTGGAGTGCAATGGCGCGATCTCGGCTCACCGCAACCTCCACCTCCTGGGTTCAGGCAATTCTCCTGCCTCAGCCTCCTGAGTAGCTGGGATTACAGGCATGCACCACCATGCCCAGCTAATTTTTTGTAGTTTTAGTAGAGACGGGGTTTCACCATGTTGACCATGATGGTCTTGATCTCTCGACCTCGTGATTCTTCTTTTTTTTTTAAACAGAGTCTCCCTCTGTTGCCCAGGCTGGAGTGCCGTAGCACTGTCATATTTCACCGCAGCCTTGAACTCCTTCAAGCAATACTCCCACCTCAGCCTCCTGAGCAGCCGGGACCGTAGGTGCATGCCACCACACCTGGCTAATTTTTTTAAGACTTTTTGTAGGCTGGGCGTGGTGGCGCACGCCTGTAATCCAAGCACTTTGGAGGCCAAGGCGGGCGGATCACCAGAGGTTGGGAGTTCAAGACCAGCCTGACCAACATGGTGAAACCCAGTCTTTAAAAAAAAAAAAAGACTTTTTGTAGAGATAGGGTCTTACTGTGTTGCCCAGGCTGGTCTCAAACTTGCGGCCTCAAGTGATCCTCTTGCCTCCGTTCTCTAGACCCTCCACTCCCTTACCGTTCTCCATGAGTAACACCAATAACAGTTGCAGTTGCTGAGGGGTCTACAGAGAGGCTGGTAAAGATCAGAGATTCCGGGAGGACCCCTAGGCCCCACCTTCCCTGGTCTTGGCTACACCTGGAGGGTAACTGCACTCCTGGGTGAGGGCAGGAGGAGAGTGAGGACACGCTTAGGGGGAATAATGAGACTCTTCAGCGGAAGGTGGACGTGAGGACAGCCCTGAAGGGGAAACTAAATTGAAGACACCCCCTGGGCCCAGCGCCAGTTCGAGTCCCTTCTTTTTTTTTTGAGATGGAGTATTGTTCTTGTCATCTAAGCTGGAGTGCAATAGCACAATCTCGGCTCACTGCAACCTCTGCCTCCTGTGTTCAAGCAATTCTCCTGCCTCAGCCTCTGGAGTAGCTGGGATTACAGGCACCCGCCACCACACCTGGCTAGTTTTTGGATTTTTTTTTAGTAGAGATGGGGTTTCACCGTATTGGCCAGGCTAGTCTCGAACCTCTGACCACAAGTGATCCTTCTGCCTCGGCCTCCCAGTGTGTTGGGATTACAGGCGTGAGCCACCACGCCCGGCCCAAGTCCCTTCTTTATATTCATTCATTTAACTTCCACAGCCCCTGTGCGATGGGTGCTTTCTTCTCCCAAGTTTTGGATGGAGAACTTTAGGCTCTAAAGGGCTACCTGAGCATTGGGAGTCCCTCAGCCCAGGCCCTTGCCCGCCGACTTGGGGGTCCCAGCAGACTCACCCTGAACAGCAGCAGTGTTCCAGGCACCACTGCGCAGAACAGGAGGATAATCCCCTCGGCTGTGATGATGCGGTTCTTGGTGCCCTCCCCCATGTCCAGGAAGGGCCTGGGGGGCGGGTCTGCAAGGAGGTGGTACAGCTCAGAGCCCTGGCACACCTGCCCAACCTCTGCAAGGCCCCAGGCCCCCCGGAACCTCCACTCTGCCGAGGAGTTTGTCAGTCCCTCATCCGAGCCAGTTTGAAACCCACAATGAAAGTACTGGGCGTATCCCCTTCCCTCCCACACACTTCAAGGGTAAACTGAGTGTCCCCAGCGGGAGAGTGGGGGTAGGGGCCAGGGCCAGGCCACTCACAGCGCACGCGGAGGTAGGTGCCGCAGGATTGCTTGTATGGCTTGTTGCCCTCCTGGACACGGCACATGTACATGCCTCCGTGGCTCTTGTTCACCTTCTGGATGGTCAGCGTACCATTGACACCCTTGCCCAGGCCCACGAATGCCGGGGGCCACGTGTAGTTGCCGTGGAGGACACGCCACCAGGTGACGTTGGTGTTACTGCCATTGTGAAGGCACTGCAAGTGGGCCTCTTCCCCCAGGCTCGCCATCAACGATGTTGGGCCCTCGTGCACCCACAGGGCCTGGCACCCAGGGCCTGCGGAGAGGCAGGGTGGGTGGGTCAGGGACTGGGCATGGTGACACAGGCCCCCAGCCCTGGCTCTTACAGCTCCAGCACTCCTGGGTGGGGAGGGGAGGAGGGTGAGGACACTCCTGGGGGGAGGGGAGGAGGGTGAGGACACTCCTGGGGGGAGGGGAGGAGGGTGAGGACACTCCTGGGGGGAGGGGAGGAGGGTGAGGACTCTCCTGGGTGGGGAGGGAGAGGCAGAGCCCCTGACAGGAGCTGATGCATCTTGGGGAGAGGCAGATGCAGGAGTGAAGATGCCCCTGGGAAAGGAGAGAGGACACAGCTGCTTGGGGTGGGTGAGGACATCCTGGGGGAGGAGAATGAGACTCTCTGGGATGGTGAGACCCCTGGGAGGCCCTTGTCACCTCTGCAGCGCCATCTCCTGCCCCGCTCCTCCATACCCACTTTGTGCTCTGGCCTGAGAACTCACTGGCTTTTGGATGTTTGTTCTAGGACCGCTGTCCAGACAGCTCTTTCCAGAAGCAGTGCAGGCATTCCCTCCTCCCACAACCTTTCCAGCCCATTTTCCCACCCCAGCCTCAGCCAGGCTGTGCACCTGGCACTTTTTCTTGTGTAATCCTCACAGAACCCTAGCAATAGTTTCTTTCCTTAACTCCACTTTACAGGAGGGATGACTGAGGCCCGGGGAGGGCAGGCGGGTTGCCAGCGTCACCAGGCAATCAGGAGCGCCACTGGGTTCAAACTCCTGGCTCCCTGGCCTCTTTCTGCCTGGGCTGAGGAGCCTGTCTGTGACCTGCCCTGGCCTGTGACCCTGTGCCCATCCCTCATTCTCTGTAACTTGTATGTGTCAACTTCAGGGTCAGGGGTGAGTTCAGTCCTTGGGCTGGGCTGGTGGTGAGCGAAGGCCCTCAGCAGGGTGGAGGCTGCGGATGTCTGAGTCGGGGTGGCTCAGGCTGGTGGCAGCGTCCAATCCGGGCTCCTCTGGGAAGCCCCAGATCTCAGTCAGGCCGCCCACATGGCCGACCTCTTCTTCTGGAAGCAGTCGGAGGAGGGAGGTGGGGAAAAGAGAAGGAAGAAGAGGTGGGCAGAGGGGCCAAGCACCCTCGTCAGCTTGGGCTTAAGACTCGGGTGGGAACTCCACTTTCCCTGAGAAACCGAGAAACCTCTGAGCCCCTGGGGTAGCATGGCCACCGCGCCCACCAGCTGGCCCTGGGTGGGCAAGGGGGGTCCATGAGGCATTGGTTCCCCCAGTGCTGAGAAGGGGCTCCCAACACAGGGAGGCGCCTGAGATTTAAGGCAGAGAAAGCTTTTTTTCCCCTTGTCAGACACTGAACACTGCTAGCCCCGAGTCCCCTTCCTGCCCCCAGCGCTGGTGCTCAGTCAAGAGCAGCTTTAGTTCCTTCTTTTACAGGAGGTGGGGGAGGTGACGCTTGCTCCTGCCTCCCTCCGTGGGGCTCTGGACACCCCTTTTCTTCGCTGGGCTCTCTCCAGCCGCATCTTTGCCCAGCTTGGAACAGACCCGATTTCTATAGGCGTCTTCCCTGGCTCCGTGCTCTCTGCCTCCTATTCCCCTCTCTTCAGCCCCCTTCCCTCCACCTGTGCCCTCTCTGCAGCCTCCAGGGCTTCCCCCACCTCCCCCCAGTCCCGCCCGTTGGCCACATACCCAGGTAGGCAGCAGACAGCAGGAAGAGGAGGAAGATGGAGGCAGGCAGAGCTTGGAGGGCTCCGAGACCCCCAGGCATCTTCTCCCGGTG